CTTAAGTCTCTTAAAGGCAAAAAGAAATCTTATCATGAAACTACAACCTCATGGCATCTCTGCTCTGTCTTCCCTAAGACTCCCGCCTACTGCACTCTCCCACCCCCCTGCGGGGCCCTCCTCCTCATTGTCCTGTTTGTTTATCTTTCTGCTCACAGGTCCACACACAGACACAGCCACGCACCACATGGGGCAACAGGTGCTGGCTCCTTACGTGGGTTTAGCTGCCCTCCGGGCAGCTTTCCCAGTGACCCTTGTCCCATCACTCAGCGAAGTGCAGACAGCCTGGAAGGGCCTCCACGAAGCCCTCCTTCAAATGCCAAGTAGCCAGAAATGTTCTTAATGCAATAAGGTAGTATTGTAAGTGCAAATTTAAACTTAAATTGCACAGAGTACCAAATTGTGGGATTGTGAAGCAGCCAGCATAATCTTCACAATATTAGGAATTTCACTTCATGCACAGATCTTGAAATAATGTGTACCCCCCCCACACAAATAACTATTTGTAAAGATTATCTGACTTAGGGGCTAACAGGATAAATAAATTATAAACTGAATTTAGCCATTGCCCTGGCCCTACCACATTAGCTTATGAACCTAAATGCCCCACCTCCTTTGGCATGAGCCAGCACAGATTAGAATTCATAAGGGTTTCAGGATGTATCTTGATTAAATAAGGACTGTTGTTATACTTTAATAATTTTGTTCCTGCTATATAGTTTAGATATAGATACGTAGATACAACATACTAAATTTTAGCTTTACTATGGGATTCAGTATTTCATTTTCTATTTAAAGTGTTAAGCAATTTCCAAAGAAAGAGAATGTATCCGTGTACAAAACAGTGCTTTTTCAGCGTATGTGGCCCTGAACTTAAGTGTTGACTTGATGGTTAATGATGCATCTGCAAAGAGTGCAGATTGCAAAGAAAGTACTTCCTATTGTTCAATAATATGTCCTATTTAATTGCTTTATTATTGAATAAAAATCCCTAAGGAATTTTTACTTCCAGCAATGGTTTCTTACTCTCTTTGGTGTCTAGACAATAATGATTTACCGAAATGTATAGAAAGCAACATAAGAAAGGCTTTAAAAATATTTAGTATCTGTAGTTACTGGAGTAGGGGAAGGAAAGAGAAAACAAAGCAATATTGCAGGTTGTTACTAAGTTTCTATAGAAATGATTTTGATAAATTGTATTTAGTGATCAAAAACAACTGTATAACATCATTTATTTGAGCAGGACTACAATGCCAGGGCCAGAGGTCAGAAGTCTGTAAAGTCAAAATGACTTTCTGTAAAAATTTCAAAGTGTAGTGCCAATAATTTTTTAAGAAACAAGGAATTCTTGAAAATTTGATTCTTTTCCCCGTAGGTCCCATGTTTTTTCCTTGAGTATTTATAAATGAGCATATCTATTTCAGTTTTCAGGGAGTCCTGGATACTCAGGGTTCAGGAAGCCCTTGGAATCTGATCTCTTTCATTTGCCATCTGAATCCTCTCTTGTCTTACCCACCGAGCAGCTAGTCGGCCTCTCTGAACCCCTCTGGATGGAGCCTTGCTCCATCTGGACAGCTTAGGTAGAAAGAACTTTCATGCACTGGTATTGATTCAACCCTGTAGGAGAACAAAATGGCTGCATTTGTTAAGTTTTGCAAAAATCTAACTTTTAAAACCTCCAGACAAGTACTACCCACATTTTATTTCCATGAATTAAAAGGACAATTTTAATTAAATGAAGACATTTCTCAATTAACTCACAACTGAGTTCTCTTTAACCTGGAACATATATTTAATTCACATTTGGTCCATTTTCTAGGCTTGGTGAGCAAGGTGTGATGCACACAGTGGAGGCCTTGTGTTTCACTACATGTATTCTCAACAAAATGCAGGCCTTGGGATCAAAAGAAGAGATAAGACATGGTAACAAACTATGACTACCCCAGGACATATTCTGGGAGTTCAGGGTTCTTAACAAAAACAAACACCAATCCTGCATTAAAGATTGCATTGTTAATTGGTTCATATATTTGTATACAGAAAAATTCCTAATACAAAGTTCTTATGTTGCCATAATAATACTATACATCTGACCTTAAATTATCACAGGACTAGAAGGACCACAGAATAAAGAGGTTGTACACATCATTATGTGTTTTCAAGTATTATTGCATTTACCACTTTCCAGACCTCTCCAAAATAAAAAATAAAACATCCTTTTTATAGTCATTTCAAAGACTTTTTGAAGGAAGATTCCACAACTGTACTTAGTTTTCCTGGCCCATAGTAAAATGAAGAAGAAAGTAAACTTTGTCTTTGCCATTTTTGCATTTTCCCTTTTTGAGATCAGTTTTTCTCACTTGGAAATCAGAGAAGAGCATGTAAGAATGGAAAGGAATAGCAATGAAAGAGTCACGGCAGGGCAGTTGGAAGCCCAGAGGAGGCAGGCTCCTGATGGACCACAAGGTGCGTCATGGAGCATGGGGGACCCACTGGGGCTACTTCTGATGTGGAAAGTGAGAATTCTATTTTTATTATTATCTGCTGAGGCTCCAGCATTCCTTATCTGCTTAGCATACACCTAGCCTCTGAGACGGGGGGTTAAAAAAGAGAAGGGATGATGAGCAGTGTAAGAGTTTGCCCCTCCAAACAGGGAAGGTCTGAATGGCTGGGCATGGTGAGCACTTCATCCTGGCCAGGAAATCTTTGGAAGTGTTCTCCAGACTTATCCACAGATCTGCAAACCTAGCAATCTGCCACAGTCCTGCAATCAAAGGACATTGCTCAGTGGCTATAGGTGTACAGTTCACCTTTCTGACTTTCAAGACTCCGCAGAGTTTGCCACCGTTCCTTTGCTTTCTCTGTGCATACCTATGAGTGCTCACCATCTCCCAATCTCCTGTGTATCTTCCATTTGCTTCTACAGATCCACTTTCATGCTTTCCCACCTGTGCTCCAGGAGGCTGACCTCATGGACCTTCCTGTTTCATGTAGCCAGGCAGAGGCTCCAGAAGGAAACTGAAGGTGGGAGGAGAATGAGATTTGGGTATTTATTCCCCCAGTTCCTGCTTGCCCAGTTGCAATGGTCGGCTTCCGTCAGCCCCCCTGCTGAAGGTTCCCCTTCCTTTCACACACTCATGTTGCTTCCCGCCACCACTCCAATCTCTTGCTTCTTCAGGCCAAGGGTGCTCACAGTGCCCCACTAGCCAGGGACACTGCATCGTCTCTGTTTGTGTAGCTAAGCTTCAGCTCCACCTGGGCAAATGTCATCTTTATTAAACCCCTTTCAGTTAACCAGTTTGATTGAGTCATCTACGTGCTGCCAGGAGCCTAATTCACCCTCAGTCAAGGAATAACCTATGAATCCTTTCTCCACTACCCAGGTCCTACCTTCTAAAGCTCGGCTCAAATTTCAGCTCATATTGTACCTTCAGACTTGTACATTGTACACTAGCTCCCATCTGACGTCCTTTAGACTCATGTGTAACCTATGGCCCACAGTTTGTCCTGTGCTCTGTCTCTGCCATGTCCTGAGCATCACAGTATGGTTCAGAACGTACTTTACTCACGTCCCTGCAGCTCAGTGCTGGGTGGGCGGGGTAGCAGGCACTCAAAGCAAGTCTTTTTTGGGCCATAAAGGTCACACCTTTGCTGAAGGGAGGGATGAATGCATGCTCCCCTGAAACCTTTAAAGCCTGTCATAGAGTAAGAAGGAACTAGGGAGATAATATCCCCATTGTGGGGATGAGAAAACTGAGGCTTAGAGCGGTGACCTAATGGTCCAGCATTTCAGTGATGAGATGGCAAAGCTGGGGCTCAAAGCCAGGATTTTTTTTTTTTTGAGAGGGCATCTCTCATATTTATTGATCAAATGGTTGTTAACAACAATAAAATTCTGTATAGGGGACTCAATGCACAGTCATTAATCAACCCCAAGCCTATATCTCAACAGTCTCCAATCTTCTGAAGCATAATAAACAAGTTCTTAGATGGTGAACAAGTTCTTACATAGTGAATAAGTTCTTACATGGTGAACAGTGCAAGGGCAGTCATATCACAGAAACTTTCGGTTTTGATCATGCATCATGAACTTTAAACAAGCAAGTCAGATATGATTATTCGTTTGATTTTTATACTTGATTTATATGTGAATCCCACATTTCTCCCTTATTATTATTATCACTTTTTTTTAATAAAATGCTGAAGTGGTAGGTAGATGCAAGATAAAGGTAGAAAACATAATTTGGTGCTGTAAGAGGGCAAATGTAGATGATCAGGTGTGTGCCTATGGACTAAGTATTAATCCAAGCTAGACAAGGGCAACAAAACATCCACGGATACAGAAGATTTCTCTCAAAACAGGGGGTTGAGGTTCTAAGCCTCCCCTCTGTTGGTCCCCAATTTCTCTCCTGATGGCCCCCCTGCGACTGTGCCTGTCTTAGGTTGTTCCTCCCTTGAGGAATCTTACCCGTCTCTGGCTAACCAGTCATCTTAAAGCCAGGATTTTTTTAGTATCTTTATTTGCCATTCTGATACTATTATTTTTAATGTCTCTGTTTAATTAGCAAAAACATTCACCTCTTCATACCTGGATCATTGGTATATTCCTTCCCTTTCAAAAACAGCATGTATTTGTTCCTCTTACTGAAATAAAATTTTCCTGAGACCACCCCCAGCCCAGAGCTGTTACCTATTCATGCATTATCCCTGCACCTACCACTTTAAAAATTCACCACCCAAAGACTGGATTCTCTTCTTCCTTGAATGTCTGGGAGGGGGAAAATAGAGCCCTTTGGCTCTTTACTTCAATATTCTCAGATAGATTCAGCTGACACAAAGAGTATTCTGGCCATTGTCTGCAGCTTCATTCACTGCTACTTGCTGAATAGAAAAGGGATCAACTATCCACATTTAAAATATTCATAATTACACACTCAGTCCTACAAAGAGCACCTGGCACACACAGGGAGAACTGCAGTGACCTTTCTCTGCCATGGTACCTGGCTCCTGTGCAGGAGGAGTACTGGAAATCTGCATACTCGGGCCCAGGGGAAGCTCGAAGTGCTCATGCACAGTGAAGGAGCCGACTTCCTCTCAGGCCTCTGCCAGCCATGCGTTAGGGCCCTCAGACATGTGGTAGTGAATTTATTCCCTGTAATGAGAGTGAGAGACACGTGCATTCGTCACCTGAAGTTTAACCATACACAAATGTCAAGGTGAACACTTTAGTACATCATTCAGTTTAGTCACACAAGTCAACTTCAGGACAAGAGAGAACGTAAAGATGATGGGATGCTATGGCCCATGGTACGACCAGGAACACCACAGTGTGGGTTTCCACGCAGTGAGTGTGCCTCCCCTTCCTATATTAAATACATCGTTTAGGGCAACACTTTTGTTACACTGAAGGAGGCTCCACATAAAAGTGTCAGCAGCAGCCAGTTGACTCATGGAACTGAGAATGGTGCATTAGCTGCCGATTTAAATTAATTTTGCTCCTTGAACCATGAAAAAGAGTTCTTTGAACAAGAATTCATGATAAATACACATATGTAAAAGGCCTGTAATCATAATTATTTTAAATGCATAAAACAAGGTTTAAGACTCTCAGGCCTCATTAATTTCTTATGGTATAAAAGAAAAAAAAACAAATGGTAAATGAGAAAAGTATAAGTCATAATTTAAATGTACTATGCATGGCCATTTAATGAAAAGATTCTTTATAAACTCTAGGCCAGCCTACGTTTATACATTACCCAATAACAGGGAGCAGTGTTACAGTTTCCTTGTAGAGAACCGAACCGATGTTTCATGTCATTTAGATCTTAAAAGAATACCACTTATAATTAAGAGAGCAGAATTAAAATAACAAAATCATCTTGTAACACCTTGAACTTCCTCTTTTAGAACACTTAACTCTTATTTTCCCTACACAAAGAGCAGGGTCACATTCTCAAGGCATGACACATAGTAAGGTCTTAGTAAATATCCACACAAAAATGGCCATAGGTTCCCTTGGGGAGAGTCCACTGTCATATGTATTTGCCATGATTTTATGGGTTCTACCTCATGCAGACCCAGCATCTCCTTCCAAGTCTGAGGACTGGTTCATGTCCAAGCACTGGTAAGGGACTGGGACTTTTGGGGAGGTGTCTGCCCTAGCCTCCTTGATTTCTTTTCATTGTATAGATGAGAGATTATTTTGCTGAGATTATCATGTGTGTTCTAGTAACCGTCTCCATGGCTGTATGAGTCACATGTCCGTAACTACTACTACAATCTTGCAACCTACAAGGTGGCTGGCTGGCTGGAGACCCAGGGGAGAGTTGACGCTGCAGTTCAAGTCTGAAGGCAGGCTGCTGGCAGGATCCCTTCCGCCTCAGGGAAGGTCAGTCTTTTTCTATTAAAGCCTTTCACTGATTGGATGAGGCCCAACCACATCATGGAGACCAATCTACTTTACTCAAAGTTTACCAATTTAAATATTAATTTTATTAAAAAATATTTTTACAGAAACATCTAGAATAATGTTTGACAAAATATCTGGATACTGTGACCTAGCCAAGTTGACACAATAAATTAACCATCACACTGACATGATTAAGCTTTTTGGGGAGCGCAGGGGAGCTTCAAAGCAGATCAGAAAAAAGCTTGAGTTTAGGAAAGGGACTGGCTTGTGATGAGGGGGTAGGGCCAGAATGAGGGTTCCCACACACAGGCAGGAGGGAGGGGTGAGCTTTAAAAGATCTCAGCAATTACAAATCAGAAAATGGGGACTCTGGTACAAAAGGGAATAGATTTTCCTCAGTTCAATGAATAAGAAAATATAGTGATGGAGGTAGTGAACCAAGAGGAAGAAATATTAACCAAAGTAGGTTTAAATCCTACTGGACTAAAACTGCAGAAACCTGCCACTTAAACAGGAAGTCCATTTGAAGCCACCACCATACACAGTGGAGAGTGACCCAGGATATCACAACCAGCTACTGCGATGCGGCCAGCTGGTACATTTCTAGACCTTGTCTCCCCCACACAGCAGTGATTCTTGTTTCTCCATATTGAGACCAGATTTGAGGAGCAAATACCTAAAAGCCAATATAATTTTCTAGGTGAGGTGAAATAAAAAATCGGGAGCATAGTAGAAATGCAGACAAATAGAGACAATCTTTACCTAGTGAGATTACCCAGAAAATTTCCATATAATCTCTAACTTTGCAGAGGATCTTTTTGTACCACACATTAGTAAAGTGACAGTGTCAAACTTTAATGCCCTCTATTCCAAGCATCTAAGGGTGACTGAGAGCGTTTTAGGCCCCTTTAAACCATTACAAGACTAAAATTCCACTTTTCAGGGAGGCAGGAGGGTGGTGAACTCAACAAGCCTATAAATTAAGTCATGAGTCTTATTTTCCCAACAAAGCAAGTTCAGAATGTACCATATAATTCTCCAGGCTTGACATACCTCCATTAAAGGGATGCCCACTGAGTGTGGGATTACAAAAAGAAATTACAGATTTTCTAATAAATGCCTCAAACTGCCAAGAAAATCTGGTTCTCAGGATATTTTTTTCCTTTGTGGCTGAAAATAAACATGTTCTTGCTTTATAGTTTCCTGAAATTATGACATTCTAGTGTAATTGCAAATTCTTGTGACACGAAACAATTTCTACTGACTGCAATGATCTATGAAGTGCATTTATAATGGCTCAGGGTAGCCTCCATAAGCAGACATGAGTATCAAGTAATCATTCCAAGGACTTTTTTGCTAAGAAGGAGCACTTGGTCATGTACTGTTCCTTCAGATTACAATTGAAACCTTTCCTCAGTCTCAAAAGGTAACTCTCCAAGTTCATGAGTATAAAGATTGACAGCAAAACAAAGACTTCCAGCACTGATTTCCTTATTTCCTCTAAGTAAAGAGAAAGCCAACTGAAATGTCCACAACTGTTTTCAAATCATAGTTACACAAAGAGTGCATTTTTTTTTTTTTGGTGAATTGGCTAAATCATCTAAGCAAAAGACTTCATGTTCACTCAAATTTTAAGATCAGAATTATAAAGTTGAAGTAAAACATATACAGGAGAGTTATTTTGTATGCCAAGAAAACTAAACTTTCCAAATTTACTGGATAATTATACAGGTGTTCTTGCTGATTGTCTCTCTAGGCCTGGTGTAATCATTTCACGTGGAAGATCCATTCATCACCCACATCCACCCTCACGATTCCAATCCATGTCGTCTCTCTTGGACCAAACATGCTGGAGCTCTCGGGCTCTGCTACATATTAGCAGAACTGCGCAAGCACGTTAGCTGGGTCCTGCAGCACCTTCAGGATACAAGTCCTCTCCTCCCTTACCAGGCCAGGGACTTCCCTAGCCAGGTTATATTGTAAATCACCAGAGCTGTTGGTCTGGAGGCCTGTGGGAAGGCAGGGTATATTCTTAGGTGCATATTGTGCTGCAAAAAGACTTTGCCACCTGTTCAAGCAGGAAAGGAATGCCAGCCTTTGACAGGGAGGAGTGGACACTTCTGCGGGGCTAAAGAATTCAGATGAATCTGGGGATTCAAGATTTTCAAGTATATCATTCCACAGGTCCACATTCCAAGTCTCAGGATCCCGCTTTTTCCCAGTCAGGGCCCTAGCCTTGCTCTGGTCAAACTCTCAGCATTGAGAAGTGAATCTGTGTTGATGCTCTGCCACCCTATGATTAACTTTGGGATCTGATCCTTAGTCTTATCTGCCTTTCAATTATAGGAGATGAGAATGTCCATATTGTATGCTACCAAGTAGGCTCACTTGGTCAGTAATCACCCTCAAACTTGTCTTGCTCCAGTGTAATAATGGCTCCCAGCAAGAGAAATCTGATTCCAAAATCTTTATAATTACTACTCTCCAATGCCTGAGATATCCTTCCACCAGTGCATTCCAGTCTACACATGGTGCTTCCCTGTGCACCACCAGGCCGTCTGCACATTACACCAAAACTATATGCCAGAAGCTAGAAGCGCTCCATCTAAGAGCACTCCATCTAGTGTTTGTGATGGGGGGCCTCACAGCCCATGAGTGGCACATGATTCAGCTCCAAAATCCCTATTGGACATGGTATTCCTTGAGAAATAAACTCTGAGACTCTGGGATTTACATACGAGAGGAGTACTCTCAGAAACAATACCTACTGGGGTAAAGGAAGCAAGATTAGGCAGTTTAACTGTAATGTAGTTTCGATGGAGACCTCAGCCAGTCCTGCTGGGAGCTGTCAGAGCCGGGAAGTTCCCTCTGAGTTGCTCAGTGGAGGCAAGGAGGCCAGGCCTTCATTCCTCACATTGGCCGGTTGTTACTTGACTCGTTCCAGGGAGGATGCGTGACTGGGCAAGGCATCTCTCTTTGTCTGGGGGCATTTCCTAGGGTGACACTCATCTGTGTGCTGTCAGGAACCAACTGGGAGTTGAGGGTTTCTGGAAAGCTAGTTTGGGTGGTTCACCACAGTGTCCCCTATGCTGTTGAAGAGGGATTTGTAGCCAGAGAATAGTTAGAACATACCGAGCACATGCCCTGTTAATTAGAATTGTTGGAGAAGTCTGATATTCATTTAAACAGAAAAAGTAATAAGAATACTTAATGCTATTCATCTGAAGCTATAACTTAAGATTTCCCAACTCTGTAACGAAGTTTGTTGCTCACCAGCGTTTGCTCTTTCCTCTCCCCTAACTTGAGTTACCTGTTGTGCTTCATTCAATGTTTGGTTAGAGCTTATTCTTGAGTATTTTCACAGACTGCAAATGCGAGTGATGGGAACTACGAGCTGTCATCAGATAGTTCTCCCTCTGTCAGAGTCTTTGGGCCCTGACAGGTTCTCAGGTTGTAGTGTTTTTCACTCGTCATCTACAGATATCATTTCAAATTACATTTTGTAAAGTTTTTGCTAGTATTGGTAGCAATTCACAGGGCAGGATTTAGTGCAGCATAGTCCCCAACAGAACAATGATGTTGCCCTAAAGAATTTTGTGTTGCATTCCTGATTGGGAGGTTGTGAAGTGACCACTGGTGCGAACATTGTCTCAATCTTGTCCAGGACAGCATAGGTGGTCTCCAGCCTTGTTTATAGTATATGATGGGGGGCTCCAGATCTATAAAAGGGAGTGTCATTAGCT